AAAAGAATCACTAATTAGAAAAGAATATATTTATTAAAAAAAATTATTAAAATGAAATTCAATAAATTGATTCAAAGTTAAATAATCCTATTAATGAAAATATTCTCAGGCGATTTCTCTATCAAAGCATATTTTCGAAAATACAAAACAAATATTCAAAATTTATAGCTTTGATTTCAAAATCTACCCGACGCGAAGTATCTTCTTGAATATAATATTTTACATATTTTCAAACGAGAAAAACAAAACTATCAAGTTTATTATTTTGATAATCAAACAACTAAAACTATTATATTAATATAAATGGAATTAAAAATGCATTATTTATTATTTATTACAAATATTTTGTCTCTAATTCAGATGCGAATATTTATATACAATATTTAATTTTATACTATAATTTTACTAATTTTATTAGTATAAGAAGATTATTAATATTTATAAGCTAACGAAGATTATTAATATTTATAAGCTAACGCGATGTACAAGAAGATCTAGCCTGAGCTAATAAATAAAATAAAAAAAAGAAAATGTTACTATTCACGGGTAATTTTATAAAAATATTATAATATTTAATTTATAAAAATATTAATTTATAAAAATACCCGCGGTCACTGTGCTCGTGAAAAATTCTATGTACAACCAATCACCCGTATCGTTTCGGACTTTTCGTCCTACGATATGATTGAATGATCGGAGGAATAAAAATTCATGCGACTCACCATTAAATGCGAATAATCTTTCTATCGTGAAATAGTTATTGCAAAGATTGGGATATCTAAAACAAAAAGTTCATCATCATTATAATTTATTACAAATGTAACGATAAAGGAAATAAGATAAGATAATAAAAGTAAAATAATAGTAAAAATCAAATCAATATAAAATATTTGAATATAATTGATATTTAAAAATTCAAATTTTTTAACTACAGAATAAAAATTTAGATAGAAAAAAAGATAATTACTTTTTCGAATGATGGATGATTTTTTTTATTCTCTTGAGTGGAGCACTGATTCTAACCTTTATCGAAAATGAATATTTAAAACAAAAAAAAAAAAAAAATAAAAATTAATAACTATTAACGTCTGTTTATCTTTTTTAATTGGCAAACAAGCACTGATTCTAATTTCGCGTATTATATTTAATTATGTTTATAATTGCATTTAATTAATATATTCTAAAAAATGGAAAATACTATTACGAAACAAACACTGACTCTATCGACCGCATTGCGCGCGATCACAATTTTTTAATAATCTAACAAATTCAAAATAGAAATATAATTTTACGATCTGTTCCACTTTCATCGTATTCTTAATTTACCTACTGAAGTATTATTTAACGAACATTATCACAATCCGATAAAAAAAATAAAAATCTATCCACTTTTAATACAAAATATCAAATATAAAACCACTTCTCCGAATACGTCAAACGATCGTTATAACGTCCATATTGGAATTTCTTTTTCCCGCTTATAGGTTAT